ACACGAATAATAATTTACTAAATTATAATTTACACTAACAGTAACATTTAACTACAGTGTATTTTTAAACAAACGATGGTTTTTGTGGTCATAAAAGTATCTACTCAATACTCATAAGTAAATATAGGCAAAAGCTATGGAAATAAGATATGTAAGTATGTACTATGTTGTGCTTATTGACAGACAGAACGCAATATTTGTTTTCTCTTTTAGACACTCGTGTGTCGTGTAATATATAGATACAAAACGTTTTCACCATCACCATAAATGATTTTGATATAATATTTAGACAAATTGATACCTATGGTATACCCTCACAATAAATACTATCTATTAATTTCTATCGTTTTTGATGAAACYGTTTGATGTCTTGATGAGAAATCGTTATTTTACGAATGGATATTTAAGTAAATCATGAGGCGCGTGTTTGTCGAAATTTAATCTTTAATCCCTCATAAATATGTATCTAAATATAATTCATGGAATCAGACTGTTTGAGCTCAACTTTTTTTTTATAATTCTACTAAGTAAAATATTTATAAGAATGCTTTAATTGAGAATATAATATTAAACAATCTATGAATTTTTAACTACAAATTAGATGATTGGTAGATTTTTACGAATTTCCATAAATTTTAACGCTCATCAAAAGTTAGTATTGTCTCGTAGGCAATTTATACTGTGATTGAAAAAAATTTGATTGGAAATTTTTTTTCAATCACAGTATAAATTGCCTACGAGACACCTCGTACRGCGGTAGAACTTGTTTGCCAGCTATTCTCGTTTTAAATGCAAGTTTGGTTTAACATGATGTGTCGAGCCGAGCCGAGGGCTTCCGCCAGATAAAAACAATTTCCGGCACATGAAAAAAGGCGAGACAATACAGCTCGATCAAACCTCCATAATCACGGACGACTCCCGTATCTATAACGGTCTAGTATTCGAAGAAATACCCAGCCAACGCAATACCACAGAATATAATAATAATAATAATAATAAAAAAAAAATAATAATAATAATAATAACAATAATAATAATAATAATAATAATAATAATAATAATAATAATAGTAATAATAACAATAATAATAATAACGCAAGAGTACTGAGGATATAGTGTCGTCGGATGGACCTGTCGTTTTTCGCCGTCCGGGCCGTCCGGGGTAAACGAATAATTTCATTGCGCCGACAGGCGACAGCTGCAGCTTGAGCCTGCTGGCGCTGTATCGTATTGTTCCATGGCGTTATCGCAATCCACAGAATCGATGTTATTATTATTACTATTACAGTGAAACTATATAATACAAATTTCATAGATATCACACAATAACGCTTATCAATATCGACCGACTTCATGCATTTTGTTTTATCAATTTATTGTTGGCGGAACGCTCATTATTATTATTACCATTAATTTATGATTATTGTGCTTTAGCGTTTAAAATTTAAATCTATTTTCTATTACAAATTACAATATCGGCGTTCATGCGGCGTCGTGATATTTATTATTTTTAATACTTATCCATGTAATCGTTTTCTAATGTCAATCGTTCGTTCGTCGGCGTCGATCAGATTACGACTTTATCGTTGAACTGTTGAGTTAGTGTAGACGATGATGGTCCGACGACACTAGACGAATGTCAACACAATTATTGTGATGGTGTCGAYGAGACGAACAGTTTTTATGAATTGCGGAGCATAAAAATAATTAGGACCTAGATACTGAGAAAAGATTTGAATTGTTTCGGGACACGACTGTTTGTTCACATTGCTCGCCCTACACAAACACATCTAAGCAAGCGATATTCAACGATTTATAAATGGCATGCTGTTTCAAAACATTATAACGTAACCAATGGATCTCATTAGACGAACATCTTTATTGTTCGTATTATTATTATTACTCATCMAGCAATCGATACAAGTCAGTAAGTACCAACCATAGTCCTTAATTAAATTGGTATTTAAAACATGTAAATAGTGAGAATATGTTTTGAATGTTCAAATAAAATTATACTTATAAATAGGTAATAGAAAATAATTTTATACCTAAAACTATTTTACTACCTATACTGGCTACACCTACCTACATACCTACCTTTATTAGATCATATCAAAATATAGATAGGTAGGTAGGTACTATTGACAAACCAAATATATTTAGAATTCATAATTTCATTCATTTTTATATAAATTCTAGGGTGCTTAACTAATTAATGTAATATACCTTTAGTATGATTTTTAATTATATTTTAATAATTATTTATCAATAGCGTAACTAAGAGACTTATTAGTTATTACCTTAATAGATATTATTCTTAAATAAAAGTTTCTTAACATTTTTAGATGGCAAGTTAACTAGTTATAATTCTTTTTTTTTCATTTTTATTCTATATGAAATGAAAAATGTTTAATCGYAGTTGAATTAATAACATTTATTATATGTATATATTATACTTAGGTACCTATCTTGTGTTGTGAGTTCTAATAGTTCTAATATTAGAATTATTTGACCTGTTGTTAAACTGAATAGCCAATTATCTAAGGCAGTAAGGCATCATCTCAATCTCATTTAGGATTAATTGATATTATAATTATGACTAGGGCTCGGATTTATATGTATTAAAAAAACCAAAATATGGAAATCAAAAAAATATAAAAAATAGCTTTATAAATCATATAATTATCTAAATATAAATCCGAGCCCTAATTATGACCCTATAGGTAAATATTATGTAARATATTGTAATTTAAAAATAGTTCTAACTTCCTTTTAAATTAAAATGTCAATAAAAGCCTAATCCCAGTCTAACAGAGGGGCCCTAAATTCTARATAATATTGTTACCTTTAAGTTTGATAATCAGGGGCGGATTTAAGGCACTGCAAACTATGTGGCCGCATAGAGCAGCAAAATTATGTTGAACATTTATTTAATTTTGTAAAATTAGGTACATAATTTTTAAAATTGTATTTATCACTTCAAGATCTTGAAATTGTGAATTTTGTATTCGTTTATTTTTAGCAAAATAATATTTATATATTCTCCGGAACTCGTCTACGACAACGACGATAGTATTGTGTATTATAGCTTATCTTTTTGTTCAAGAAATGTCTCGTAATACTGTAATAAAAAAAAAAAATAGATGTATACAAATATTGGAGTACACATAGTATTTATAAACGTTCACTTAATAGAAACCGTTACCGATACAATTTTCTCTGTGTATAAATATATTTCATATTATTAAATCAGTGGTTAGTTAGACGAAGAATAGTATGTTGGATTATTATAAATAATTTTACAATGATATTTGACTACCTTATTCTTATATTTAAYCGTTTATTATGAATTAGTGATGGTTGTCTTTCGCCAAAGAGTATAGACGTCTGCGGTCCGTGTGATTTATTTAATGACAACGGTGGTGTTAACTGTTTACACATACCTATTGTATACGTACGCGCGTGTTATTTTTAGTGACAAAATTGGTGTTAGCAGTSGTGTTAATATGATCAGAAAAAAGTTAAGTGGGTGTTAGTATAAAAAGAAATCAAAAGAAAAGGCTGAAAAATTAACTAATGTTCTTAATCGGACCCAAAAGGTTGATGCATGTTTTAAACCAATAAAAGAAAATGAGGAACAACAGGTATCTATTTCCAATTTACCCCATCCAAACACGACTAATGATTCGAATATTATTAATTCACCGAAAAAACAAATATTAGAAAATCAAAACCTAGAATCTGTATCTTTTAGTTTTTACTTCTTCTGCCATTCATTGTCAGTCTTTACCTCCTCCCCAAAATGAAATAAATACATGCTTCGAATCATTATAAACTTCTTATTCTAACAATCCTTCAATGTGGATTATAAATGATGACTTCAGAGATTATTTTGCTGTTAACGATTTTGAACAAAATAAAAACATTGATTTTTCTAAATCGCTGSGTATGTTATGTAAAAAATTAATTAATTTGAGGATATTTTATTAAATAGTAAGTTCTTTAGATAGGGGCGGCAAATTTAATTTGGCATAGGGGTGGAAAATTGTTAAATCCCCCCCTATTGATAATATCAAAGTTTTTTAGTTTTGTCTATAATCAATAATATTATTATAGATATAAATTAGTTTATATATTATATTAAAGTCTACGGTGTTATAGTGCATGACAAATCGGATAGGTATCACCACAGTTGTACTAGTTTTATGCAGTACACTCATCTCCTTCACTTCTGGCATATTCCGTAGTTCTCTACTTCTGATTAGTTGATTTTTTTTTTGTGTTCAAAATAATTATTATGAATTATATTTATTTTTTAATTTATTAGGCATTTAGGTAGTTCAATATAATATTAAATACTTACAATTAATTTATACTAAAATATACTATGCTGTATTTACGTTAGTACTAACAAATTAAGAAGTTAATTTTTTAATTTTTACAAGGTTTTTTTCCCATAATGATTTATTGCATTTAAATTATTGAACTGAATAAACGCTCTTGTACAAGAAACATTGATAATATCAGCCAATAAGAAGTGGAAAACTATGATATAAGCGTAGTGAATATTTGAACGGGGGCTGCGTATCAAAAACTCTGATGATACTTATCTAATTTGTCATGTTATTGTGTATTTCGTGGCCGTACCATGTAAAAAAGATTTTAAGCAGTAAGGTTTTCATGAATGCGAGATGCTTTGTTAAGGGCCTTACTTCTCTCCCAGTTTTATGTATTTTAACTATGTACCTTATGTATAAGTTAAATTAGAATTATTATGTATACAATATTACATGAGGTATTACCTTATGGCTTATAGTACACATACTCTGAATATAATAGATAATTAAAAAAATAATTCTGTTATCTTTTAATGAATATACAGATAGGAGATATACAGTATCTAATAACATTAGATGAATATTAAACTATAGAATATACTTATCTTAATATTATAATTTTATTTAATAACTCATTTTCAAGTTGTAATTATTTAAATAAATAGGCTAATGTGTTACAAATAAGTAAAATGTGTAATTAATTGGTACATTATGCAATATTACTTCATCTGAGTATTATGTTTATATAAGCTTATATTTTTAACCAACTCATGATTTGGTTTTATTTTATTTAGATCCTCCTAGTGGATATTGTGCTCAGTATAATGGGAAGATATGTAGAAAATATTTAAATGCTTCAATTCTTATATGGTTTAACAACACTTTAACAAATGAAGGAAGTGAACAAAATGAAATAATCACTACTGGTCTATGGGAAGAAATGTTACCTAGCTTTTCAAAAACATGTAGACCAGCAGCTGAAGTACTTATCATTCTAAGTTGCTTTAGGTTTAATAATTAGTTTAGATTTGTATTAACTTCTTTATCTTTATTTTTTAGAAACTTTTATGTTTATATGCATTTCCTCATTGTCATCAAGATACGTCTTATTTTCCACTTTGTTATGAAGATTGTATTGCAGTACGAGAATTATTTTGCTATAAAGAATGGGCATTGATTGAAGCAAATAAACAAAGGGGGATTTTTTATAAATCTAAAGGACATTTTTCTTTACCACTTTGTGAGAACCTACCACGTAACTCACAGAATGGTAAACCTGTATGTTCACATGCCATGCTCACAGAGCTAAAACAAGATGAAATAACTAGTAAGTATTAGTATTTTATGTCAAAAGAATGCACTAGTCATTTATATTTTTATTATATTATGAAAAAAAAATTATTATAATCTACCTATTCATAAACTATAATTATTTAATTTTGAGAAAACAATTTATGTATTTGGTTTTATAACAATGATTTTGTATCTGTCTTTAAGTTTTGAGGAAAAAAATAAATAATTCAAGATCCAACTTAAATGTATCAAATTAGATTTTTAGTGTTTTTTTTATAGTATCTTAAAGAAGTTAACTTCCAATACATTTCAAAATAATTAGGAAAACAAAATTACTTACACATGGCATCATTAAATTATTTTCAAAAATATTTTGACTCTTAATTATTTAAAGATATTATAATTTTGGCATAAGTTTATTTCCTGATTTTATGATGATATGATACACAACTTTATTATCTTATACTATTATTAAAAATATTTTAGAATCTGAACAAAGTGAGGAATGTATTGATTTTGCAATGATTTATGTTTTTTTTTTTTTTTTTTTGAGACTGGTTCTAACATCACGTTTTGGAATAGAAAATTCATCTAGTTGTTACTTTGGGGGGTAAAAGTAAAAAAATGTCCAGTTGTTTCAAAAACATCAGGAAAAACCCTAAAAAAGTAACAAAAAAATGGAAATTTTTATACATAATCAATTTTTGATAAAATCAATTTATTTATTTTGCTGTAACTCAAAAACTAATCATTGTTAATATTTGAAATTTTTACCAAATATTTATATTAATAAAATCTATTTAAGATCAAATTTTAAAAATATTTTTTTGTAGGCAATTGAAATTATCGATTTTTCTAAGTTTATTTTTTTGAAATGCCTATAAAAAAAAAAATAATAGGCTATCCAAACAATCTTTAAAATTTAATACAATGTTTATTATAAGTTGTGCTTATCGTAGTAAAATCAAAAACCTTTTGTCACAATTTTTGTTAATTTACCTAAGCATTTTAAGTTCAAATGTTTACGAAATATGTCAAAATCACGAAAATTCGAATGGAATTATGAAGTTGAAAATTCATAAAATTATAAAATTGTTATGATTTAAACTTATAGTTAAAAAAACCAAAACAAGGTTTTGCATAACTTTTTCTTTAAATTACTGTAAAAAAAAAACTCCAGAGTCAACATAGAAAACATTCTGTGAGCGTATAAAAATATATTATAATTTAAATATAGGTAATATAATAATATATMCTAGACTGACAAATCATCTCCGTTCAGAATTGTTTTTTGTATACAATGATATCTGTCATTACATTCAAATTTAACACATCCATTATAGTGGCCTACTCTCCATCTCTACTATACAGCAGAGTGATACCCACTTGCCAACTTTTAGAATTTAAAACCAAAAATTAGGAAAAGTCAAAATCTCAAACAATAATTTAAATCCCTTTTCTAAATTCATTAAATCCCTTGGTGCATTAAATATAAACGTCTTGGAATTCCTATGTTGCTTGCATGCTAGATAAAGCTTTAAAACGTATTAATTAATGTWCAAATTTTATCCTTTTTGTTTGATAATTTATTTACATATTTTTTTCTACAATGTCATTAAATATTTATATTTGATTAAGATTTAATGTATTAAGAGAATCAATTATTTTTTAGTTGATTGCATTCGTGGCAATGGTCGTTTTTATCAAGGATTTACTAATGTAACTAAATCAGGTTTGCCATGCCAAAGATGGGATTCTAAAGTTCCGCATGAATTTGTAAGACCACCAAACGTATTTCCTGAAGTTCAGAATTCTGAAAATTATTGCCGAAATGCTGGCGGTGAAGTTTCTTCTCCGTGGTGTTATACTATGGATCCTGATGTAAGATGGCAAAAGTGTGATATACCTCTCTGTGGTAAGACTTTGATTATTGTCTAGATTTAATATTAGTGTTATTGTTTTTATTATTTTGTTTATTACTTTCATAATTTTAGATAAAAATGAAACTGAATTAGTCGAAACAAAACTCGATATCATTAATAATGACACAATTATAAATACCATTACAATGATTTTAAGTCATATTGAAACGTTCATTGATCAAACATCAACAACACATTTACACATATTTCTTGTGATTGTTGGAGTTCTGATACTTTTAGTATCAGTTTTAATATTAGTGCTATGCAACAAGTTATTGTCCAATAAAACTTCATATAGATCAACTCAAACTGGAGTAAATATAAATGATTATATTTTATATAATAATTTACTATATTGTTATATTATTAGACTTTTAATGACATTACATAATATTGATTATAGGAAGTTGATATAGATTTAGATAAATTACCAAGTAATTCTGCATATCATCAATATGGAATGTGTTCAAATCCGAAATTGGAAAAACTTGAATTTCCAAGGAACAACATTATATATGTAAAAGACTTGGGTCAAGGAGCATTTGGACGTGTATTCCAGGTGAGATAAAAAGTGAAATGCATTTGAATATCTATCAGTGGCGAACAGTGGAGTGTGCAGGGAAGGGATGAGGGGGATATATCTCCTCCATGGGATTTTTTTTTAGTCTTCAAATATGACTGAAATTTAGATCTCTAGTTCATCAAAATAATGTGTAATTAATGATCATACATCGAGACATTCCATTATCTTTTSAACAAATAATTAACGAATTTACTGTAAAAGCTAGAAGGACGAATTTYCAGCTTGACAAAATTTTTTGTATAATAATAAAAATTGAAAATAATACATTTTTATTTATGACATCCCTCCCTCCATATCAAATTTCTGGGTACRCCACTGGTGGCGAATGCTGACTCCGATGTATAAGCATACTCATTAGTCATTTATCATAATGTATTACATTTCCGAGTATTTAATTTATAATTAATAAATAATACACAAATTTGTATTAATTTATTAATAAAACTTTAATTTATTATGTTATACAGCACTTACTTAAATAATACTTTAATAATTTTAATTGAGACTTGACTAACTCTTTTAACTAAAATAAGTTAACTTCGCATTTTTTTTTTTTTTATATAAATTAAATCTCTTCTTTGTTTTCAACAAATTTTTCCATCACTTTATTGTAAAAATCAAGGTTTATTTTTAAGTAAGTCTACCAATATTTTTTTCTTAATCGATCATATTGCAAGAAAAGATAGTCTATCTTGACCTTGAGTAGACATAATATGTTTTTATTCTTTTGAACTGTACTAAATTCATTTTTTAACCGGATATCAAAGAAATTTACATACTGCTTCTTTTAATACTGGAGTTCAATATCAGAAAATTCATTATTATATTTTTCATACAACTTAGAATTAAGTAATGAAAACAACTACAATTTTCCCATAATATTTATTTCAAATAATATAATTACTATAATACTGTATACCTACTATTAAACTGAACAATATTAAAAAATAGGACAATAAAACAAAACGAAGAAAAATTGTCATATTATATTTGTACACRAAAATTTTATACATTAAGACATTGATGTAACGCAACAGAATCAGCATGCTCTGTATGCTTAGTACTGCGGCTCTAGTAGAGTTTTAGGCCTCAGAATTAATAATATTTCACAACGTTAACTAGCGTCATATAGCTTACACACTCATTTATCGCATGCTCTGTCATTAAATGTTACAATAAAGATAAACACAAATAACTAATAAGTATAACGGAAATAGATGAAATTATTGTCATACATTATGTTTCTTTTAAAATATGTAATAAATTAGGTATTGATAAAAAAATAATTTTTGTAATTTTATTAATAACATTGTTCCTAAGCATGCCTGAAGAATTTATCACTGACATCTATTTATTTTTATTATTTTTTTATAATTTCTAGGCCAAAGCACCCGGTCTGTTGAAAGATGAAGAATTTACGTTGGTTGCTGTAAAAATGTTGAAGGATGAAGCTTCAAACGATCTACAAGTTGATTTTGAACGAGAAGCTTGTTTGTTGTCAGAATTTGATCATCCTAATATTGTTAAGTTATTGGGAGTTTGTGCTTTAGGTAAACCAATGTGTTTACTTTTTGAATACATGGGTCGTGGTGACTTAAATGAATTTCTTCGTTCATGTGCACCTAGCAATTATATTGTACATTCAGCTGAAGCTAGGGGTGATGTTTTTCGTGATTTAAATCTCACAAACTTGGATATGTTGAAAATAGCTCAACAGATTGCTTCTGGTATGGTTTACCTATCCGACAGAAAATTTGTGCACAGAGACTTAGCAACCAGAAATTGTTTGATTGATGACACAATGACAGTAAAAATTGCCGATTTTGGGCTTTCACAAAAAATGTATTTACAAGACTATTACAAAGGTGATGAACATGATGCCATACCTGTTCGATGGATGCCTTTAGAGAGCATTCTGTACAATAAATATACAGTTGAATCAGATGTTTGGGCATTTGGAGTTTGTCTTTGGGAAATTTTTTCTTTTGCTCTTCAACCGTATTATGGCATGACACATGAAGAAGTTGTTAAATTCATCAAAGATGGTAACGTTATGAATTGTCCTGAAAATACTCCAAAATTGGCATATGAGCTTATGAAACAATGTTGGAGTCGAAAACCTGATTCACGTCCAACATTCCGTACAATTTATCAGACTTTAGAAATTGTTCGACAAGAAGTYGTTTGCCGTATGAATGRTGGTCTGCCTTCACATGCCCATTTGTGATTTATCCAAATATTTGTACAATTATATGTGGAAAACAATTAAGCTATACTCTGTTTCAAAAGAGAATATACCAGATTTACGTAAGAAAACCGGTTTTGCCCGTGACCACATGGTATATCCTCTTTTGAAACAGGGTATATATTGTATATTTTGTCATTGTCTGATTGTATAGCAATTATTTACATCTTTTATGGACATATTAAACAATCAAAATGTTTAATCTACTTCCTCAATGACAATAATTTTGTTATATCATTGATAAAATCATTTTTAAGACTGTTTTAGTAGAATAGTAATTTATTTTTTTAGCTGATTTACTTTACCTAAGCAATTAATTTTATTTTCTCAATAGAAACTCTTACACAAAGAATATTATTTGATGTTTATATTCAATTTTTTTTACCACATAATATATTATACTCTCTTAAATAGTTTTTAATAATTAACAATAGGGTTGTAAATTAATTTTAATTCAGAAAGTTAAGTTTGTCAATAATAATGTCTGAATGTTGGCAGTAATCTGATTCTTATTATTAACTCTTGATAGTCTGTGTAATTTAATATTTTTGTTTTATTAAATATCTGTGCTCTGTAGGCCTATGCTAGTCGTTCATTTATTATATATTATGTACCTAATAGTCTTGTGATTTTGTAATTATATTGATTGACAAAATTTAATTAGTTAAGAAATTAACTTTGAAGCTTTAAATTTTACAATATTCAATTATTTGTTTTTCAATTGATCATTATCTTATTTKGTGTGAAAATAATAAGTTACAAAGGTAATACTGTAATTATTATTTATGTGAGTAAAACATTTTTATTTTATTTATTTCAATCGCATATTTTATAAATTTTACAATAAATACACAATAAACTAATATTATATTATAATGAAAATACTGTAAAACGGTATGATAACTATGAAATATGAATTTAGTATCAAAAATTGATACACCTCAATTTAATTATGTACAGTAAAACTTTGATTAACCGTCACTGTCGGGACCGGGGCTATGA